CAGAAAGAAAATAATACAAGCTACTTACACTGCAAAATTTTCAATAGATTTTTGTTGTTTATAGCCAATGACCATCACAATACAATATAAGCACAAATCATATAACTACAGAACGAAAGACATTTCACACATCAGACCAAGACACATCTGCAATGTCCAGAATTTTTTTAAAAAAACATACCTTCATATCATCCTTAGGGTTTGGCACTTGCACTATCCATAAAGGTTGCCCTTATATTTCTTGCCTCTAGTGCAAATAGTTCCACCCTATAACTGATGAATTTATCAACATCTTCCAACAGCCATTTAATTTTAAAGACATCTGGTTGACCTTCTGAGGCGGTCTGAAAAGGGGAGATAAATTTGGATCTGGGTGAATCATACAACGAGCAATCTAGAATATAATGTTCAATATCCTCAACAGACCCTGATCCACATATACAGAGGCGCTCTCTTGCAGGTCTGCTAGTATATCTCCCAGCCAGGTATTCAGTAGGCATGGTCTGGAAGCTGAGCTGGGTGAAAGCATGTCTGACAGGGGGGGAAAGTTAGTTCTTGCAAGTACATAGCCCTTTTGTGGTCTGTTTTAATTTTAATATACCAAATAGCAGATTTACAATTTTTTATGTATTCAAGATCTATTTTTGCATCTTCGCTAAACACAATATTTCGTATCTTACGACCAGAAGTTGGAGAGATCAAATAACTCTGCATCAGACTTCTACAGGATTTTACCCAGCCTTCCCTATTCTGCAATCCAAAAAAAATCTTTTGGCTAAGTCTTGTTCTGGTTGTAATGATACTTTTTCCAAGTACAAAAATTTAGATTCGTGTCTACGGGCTTTTATAGAAGGAAGACCTAGTGCAGTTCTTAGTAATGCTCCGGGTGTACTATGTAGCACTGCCAATATCATACACAGAAACTTATTTTGAATTACATCGAGTTCCTCCCTGCAGTAGTTACCCCAGATTGGTGAACCGTATAAAAGGTGAGACACAATCTTGGCTGCAATTTTTTAAAATGCTGGTTCGACTAAACAGTGGCCCTCTGTGTAATACAGTTTCTTTATGGGCCCCAAAAGCATGTAGATGAAAGTGTTATTGTTTCTAGGTGGGTGTGGCATAGGGTATTTTCAGAAAAATTAAGCCCTAAATATTTATATGATTGGCATTGTTCGATATTATGTCCATCCATGGTCCATATGTGTTTCCTCCTTTTGGCAAACACCTTTGTTTTCCTGTAAGTCCTCTCTTACAGTAGCTTCTAAATTTGATGTGTAACCTTCTCATACCAATTAGATGAGTGTCATGTCATCTGCATAAAGCAAGGCTGGGATCTTCTGTTTCCCAACTGCAGGAGGGAAATCATCAGATGAGGAGGAAAGCTCCTGGCCTATGTTCTTTATGTAAAGATTAAATAGAAGTGGTGCCAAGATGCAGCCCTGTTTAACTGCCTTTACTGTTGGGATTGAATCAGATAGAAAACCTGTCCTGCCAACTCTACTTTTAATGTCAGTATTGGTATAAAGTTGTTTCACAAGATACAGCAGGTGTTTTATCAACTGAAATGGTATCTAGTTTCTTCCATAAGTGTTGGCAGTCTATTGAGTCAAACAAAGATGAAAGCTCAATAAATGTAACATAACTTTTTTAAAGGGCTGTTTCCATACTTTTGTATAAGGTAATTCAAGACAATGCACTGATGGATTGTGCTATACCCCATACAAAACCTGCCTGTAATGGGGACAAAACCTGATTTTCTTCTATCCACTGTTCTGAGTTGTCTAGTAGATCAGTATATATGCTGTGCAAATATATTAGCAGGGACATCAGGGAGGCTTATGGGGTGGTAGTTCTAAGGGTCTTCTTGATCACCTCTCTTATAAATTGGAACTATAATGCTAGATGTCCAACAATTTGACATTATTCCAGTTGAATTAATTGATGTGAAAAGTTTTGCCAGGATTGGTCACCAATCAGATAGAAATCCATATTTCCAAAATATGAAACCCATTTGGCCATTGGAATTTATCGCCAAATCATGATACTGGGCTGGTGATAACATTGTGATGTTGAAAACCTGACCTTGCCCAGCCCCAGCTAGGGGGTGGTAATGGGGTGAGATCAGTCCTGGTGAAATGGCCCCATCGCTTGCTTACCTTACACTTATTGTAGTAGTGGCACCTCGATCACTACCCTGCACCCCCAATTCCTTCTTTCAGGCATTGTCTGATTTCAGGAATCTCAGCCTTTCTATAAACCATTCTCTGTGTACTGAGGAAGATGGTAAGCCAGGACTGGGTTTTATGTATGTGATGGCTCTTCTATAAAACTAAAGCAAAAAATGTGCTGAATGCTTACAGAAATGCACAATGCAAAGGCTTTCCTTTGTATATGCTTCATATGCTGACTGAGCTCTGTGAAAAAACGACACTTCAGGGTTGCCCCCACCCCTTTGGCTGCTTGCATTTTTGGAAGCAGTACAGTGAAATGATTGAAAAGCTTGCATTCTTTTCATAGTCCCATAAATTAATTTTCTTCTTGTGTGAATGATTGCATTCCTGTAGCATACCATAGTTCCCAGATTAATAAGATCATGGTAGTCTATGTTGGTAGAAGTATCAGATACCCAATTTTAGGAATTACACTCAGTTTTACTGAGAGATGTTTAAGCATGTTCTCTATGTACACTGTTAGATTTTAATTAAGTGCTTGTGATAGTTTGAATGGCTTTAATAGCAATTTTTAATATGTTTTAAAGTTGTCACATGGATGTACTAGGTTAACACCAATGGGTGGAATGCAGTTTTTCTGTTCCATGAAAGGAAGGACTTCAGATCCTGCTCACACCTCTAGTAATGGAAAGGGGGTTATTTTTCCAATTCACCTTTCCCCCTGCAACCACTTTTGTCCCCTGAAAATCTGCTCCACAGGTTTGGGGGGGGGTCCCTCCAGAAGTGTGTGGAAGGTGGCACAGAAGGTGCGGAGAGAATCACACCTCCTTCTATTAGGAAAGACCTCTTCTAGGGTAAAGACACAACACACTTCTGTGAATGGAAGGACTCCTGTTTGCATAAGGGTACAGTTTGATACAACCCAGTTTGCACAGGTTAACTGCATAAAGTATCTGAAATAAAGGCTGGAAGACTGAATATAGTGTTTAGTGTTTTTAGAGGAGGGGAATAAAGTAGAAGTGGATGACCTTTTGCCTCTAGATATGGTCCCATGTGGTCATGCTGGCCACATGACCCGGAAGCTGTATGCCGGCTCCCTCGGCCAATAAAGTGAGATGAGCGCCGCAACCCCAGAGTCTGTCACGACTGGACATAATGGTCAGGGGTCCCTTTACCTTTACCTTTATGGTCCCATCATTCCTGACTATTAACCATGCTGGCTGGGACTGGTGTAAGAAATAAAGGCTTGTTATTTCATTTCATCTGCATTTCTTTGTTCCCTGAAGTCTGTAGTTTTGCATCTCCTTCTAAAGCTGCCCTGGGGGCTATAGGCTCTGAGGAGGGGTGTAACTATGAAAAATAACTTAACTTTTAAGGTCAGTGGACAACTAGCCTTTGCACTCTTTCTCTAGCCTTTGCACTCTTTCTCTACCCCACCCCTACTTCTTCTGGGGTGCCTATTTTCCAAGACTTAAGAGGGGTTAACAGTTTTGTCAATGAACATCTCCGTTTAACCCAGGATCTTAAGCTAATTTCAAACCCTGTTCTTTGTGGTGGCCCCCATTTTCCCCACCCTCTTCATCAGGGGCATTATGAGTGAAACAAAATGGCTTCCAGGCCACGGCTGCTAAAAGATGAGCTTTGATGCTGATGCAGCAGGCAAGAAAAGGAAGAGAGAGACTCTGGTTGCCTCTAAGGCTAGTGGTGAGCTTCCTTTCAATCCTGACAGGAAACTTGGGAAGAAAAAGCAGGATGCAGTTGAACAGATGTATACCATTGTATGTGCTTTTTAAATTATTTTAAAATTCAGCTTTTTGTTGCATTAGTGGATATACCTTGGTGGCGACCATTTTAGGTGTGTCCAGTTGATGTGTGACTGCAGACATGCAAGTACCGTATTTTTCGCTCTATTGGACGCACTGGACCACAGGACGCACTAGTTTTTAGAGGGGGAAATCAAGGAAAAAAATATGCAGCCTGTCCGCTTCTCCCAGAGCTTCTCGGGGCTGCGGGGGAAGCCCGGGTTCCCCCCCCCCAGCCCCAAAGAGCAAAGAAGCCAAGACAGCGAGTGGGATCCATAGCTGCGCAACCTCTCCAGCCAGGAGCTAAACCTTTCCAGCGAGGCTAAAGAAGAAGACAAGGCAGCGAGCGCGATCCATCCCGCTTGCTGCCTTGGCTTCCTCTTTAGCCTTGCGCAGCATCTTTAGCCTTGCGCAACGGGATGGATCGCGCCCGCTGTCCACCGGGGCTGGACTAGATGACTCCTGGGGTTCCCTTCCAACCCTGCAATTCTATAACCTCGGAAGGTGTTGGGGGTCTCCACCACTGGAAGCTTTTAAGCAGCGGTTGGGGGACCATCTGCCTGGCGTTCTTTAGCTGTGATTCCTACATTGTGAGGGGGCTGGGCTAGATGACCCTCGGGTGGCCCTCCCAACTCTATACAGTCCTACAGTTCTGCGGCAGGAGATCCACAGCCACTTCACACAATACCCACTCACAATTTTCATGGGAGAGACATGTGGCTTCAGTGTCTAGGTAGGTACCCCCCTACCTGCCACACTTCCCCCACCCCACTTAAGCTGAGGGAATTCCTGCCCAGAGAAGCTCCCAGGTGAGGCAAGGGTTAAGATCTACCTCTGGTGGATCTCGCTTGCTGCCCTGGCTTCCTCTTTAGCCTTGCGCAGCCTCCCACAGCTGGAGAAGCGAGGAAGCCAGGGCAGCGAACGGGATGGATCGCGCTCGCTGCCCTGGCTTCCTCTTTAGCCTTGCGCAGCCTCCCGCGGCTGGAGAGGCGAGGAAGCCTGGGCAGCGAACGGGATGGATTGCGCTCGCTGCCCTGGCTTCCTCTTTAGCCTTGCGCAGCCTCCCGCGGCTGGAGAGGCGCGCAAGGCTAAAGAGGAAGCCAGGGCAGCAAGCGGGATGGATTGCGCTCCCTGCCCTGGCTTCCTCTTTAGCCTTGTGCAGCCTTCCCCCCCCCCCCCCCGCTGGAGAGGTTGCTCAAGGCTTTTCTAGAGGAGGGAGAAGGGACTGACTGGCGGTGTCAGTCCCTTCTCCTTCCTGGACCGAAGCTTGTGTGGGGCTCTTGGGGGCTTTTCCTGCCTGCCTCCCCCCTGCATTCACTCCATAGGACGCACAGACTTTTCTCCTTAGTTTTTAAGACGGAAAAAGTGCATCCTATGTTGCGAAAAGTACGGTACTTTCGGACCCAAAAGAGGGAGGAATGGGGGCAGAATGGGTGTGTGAGTGGAACGAGGTGGTGTATGCTTATGCATGCTCTGCCAATGAGCGCTTTGAAGTGGAACTCAACCCCTGTGGAAATGGGGAGTTGCCTGTGTATTGCCCCCAAACCTGAATTATTTAGATCTATTTGAGCAGCCCTTGAATAACATGAATGACTGCAACTAAAAAATGTAAGAATACTAAAATGATTCAAAAAATGAATATAAAAAGGAACTGAATGTGTTTATTTCATGGTCTTATCTAGTACTGCAAAATAACCAACAAGTGATGATGATGATGATGATTCCCCAGCCACTCTAGGCAACTTACAGCATATCTGAAAACATAATAAAAACATCAAGCATTAAAAACCTCCTGATACAGGGCTGCCTTCAGGTGTCTTCTAAAAGTTGTGTAATTCTTGACATCTCCTTGACATCTGAAGGGAGGGCGTTCCACAGCTGCTACTGAGAAGGCCCTCTGCCTCCAGTAAAGGAAGCATTTTTACACAGCTGGAAATATGTTTGCGAGTGAAAGGATATTAAGTATATTGTCATATGCTTTCTAAAAACTTTTTCTTCAAAATGAGGTTGCATTTTAGTCAAATTTACAATTCCCTAGGCATTGCTAAATTATTAAAAGACTGAAGGGATTTTTTAATATTCAAAGGAGGCAAGTTCTACAACTGTTAATCTAGTGGGTCTTTTGGCTTGAATATAGCTTTTGTTATTGAGAGAAGGATGTGTACAGCTGCTAAATAGTGAAATAGAGGAACTGTCAGATTTTACTTATTACCTAAGAATCATGTTACAATGAAGCAGTTGAGACAATACGTATTTAAAATACTTATTTCAAGGTGTCTCACAACAGAAAACAACAAAATGTAATAAAACCAACAGTACTGTATATATTAAAAAATCGAACTGGAATAACCAACAGTTTCTTTTATGAGAAAATGTTCCCCATAAACACTGAACTGAGAAACTATAACATAACTTTTTGAAAAGTTGAAATACTTTCTTCTGAAATTGTTGTTCTAAAAACAGGAATGGAATTTCAAAAACCAGAGAAATTTCTCCTTTCCTTTTCCAAGGATCTTTTAAGTCAAAAGAGCTGTGCAAGTAAGTTAATTGAGGGAAGAACAGAGTGAAACATTCAGTATCACGTTCCATCAGTGCAGACATTGCAGCTTGCCAGATGGAAGAATACCTCCCCTCCTCCCACTGTGTGCTGTTCAGTGGTTCTCTCGACCCCCCCCCCCCAGCAGATTTGGGAGACATCGGCAGGAGAAGAGGAGAGGAAAGCCCCACTGTGCTAGTAGAAGCCCTTCTGCTGGCACGCTTGGTTATTTAAATCTGGGCCACAGGTTTTTACTATTGCAAATCTAGCCCTTCCCTCCTAGACATCACTTGCCTTTTCAGATGTTCTTAAAGTAACCTGTAAGCCAAAGGGAGAACCTGACGAGTCTCTAAATACGCTCATCGTATTTAACATATACTCATCAACTTCAGGAACGTTGGATGCAGCTGGAAACGAAGCATATGGTATCTAAACATTTTCTGTACATCTTAAAATAGCACTAAGCTGGCTGCTGGACACTTCCTGTAGATTAATAACCATCTGGGCTTTCAGTACAGCCCAGCTGGCTATTAATCTGCAGAATAATATCATGGACATGAGCTTGTTAGACTTTATTCCAACCGCTGTTCGGCTGTTCATTTATGCATTCTTTGAGCAAAACAGAGAACTAATTGTCTTGGGCTGTGGTGCTGATCACACCTACTTGGAAGGTAGCCCTGATGAAATTAGCTGGACCTAGTTGATTGTAAGTGTGGCTGGAAATTCTTGCTTGCAGAAAATAGGTGGTTGCTCGCTTGCTTTTCAACTTTATACTGTATTTATGTTATGACTGAATCAGTAGTGCACACTGAAGCACAGAAATGCAAAAGCTTGGTGCCAATCAGAGGTGCTGAAATCTGGAGGAATTTACTGACATTTGTCTTGTTTCTGGACAGCAGGCATTGAACTAAAAATAACGACAACCCAGTGATCTTTCAGTACAACCCTGTTTGACACAACTTATGTAAAATGTGCTCATTCCTATTACCTGCTCAAACCTGCATTGAAATCCTAAGGGTAGATACAGTGATGCACATTTAATTGTGTAGAATTGGTAGGTCCCAAAGAAGAAAATATGATGGATGGGCTTTTCTAACTACAAAGAGAAAATGAAAGAGAAGTTCTCTGAAGCCATGTTCGGGAGTAGACGCAGAAGTACGTTTACTAGTAACAAGTACAGTGGTACCTCGGGTTACATACGCTTCAGGTTACAGATTCCGCTAACCCAGAAATATTACCTCAGGTTAAGAACTTTGCTTCAGGATGAGAACAGAAATCCTGCTCTGGCGACACGGCGGCAGCGGGAGGCCCCATTAGCTAAAGTGGTGCTTCAGGTTAAGAACAGTTTCAGGTTAAGAACGGACCTCCAGAACGAATTAAGTACTTAACCTGAGGTACCACTGTATACTGGGACAAGTTCCTATAAAAGCAGGAAGCACTTTTTCTTCCCCAGTGGGTAAGATTGCACGGGGAGCTGTTCCCTTTGTTTCTAGCTCTAGCAGGGGAACAGTTTATTGCTGGGAGCAGAAGGGAAACATTGCTGGGTATGAAGCTTTGTCTTCATCAGCCATTACATGCCCACATACCACTTGTACTAGTCCTTTTTCTCCAGTATACCATTGACAACATAGGAATGTTGTTCTCAGTTTAATTATCTGGGGTTTTTTAAGCCCAAATGTTAGTATTGTGAGCTGCTGAGGATGATTAAAGTAACACCATTCACACACAGCAGAATGCTGCAGTTGGCAGTCAGCTGTATGACAATTGCACTGCTGTGAAACAATGTAGTAGCACTCTTCTGGAACAATAGTAATTGCCAAACAGTTATCAGAGTTTATCTGATATTTCTATGGTAACAAATCTCTTATTTCTACATCTATGTTCAGTACTACATTTATTTTTTAAGAAAAGCTGTCATCTGAATCTCTTTTATCTATCCTTTTAACTTTCAGTGTTTACTGCGGTGTGTAATGTTTTAGAGAAGTAGGCCATAATAGCTTTCTTTGAACCTTCAAAGCAAGGTGCAAAGGGAACACTTGCACAGCAAATGCTTATTTGATGCTCAACAGCATATTTTTAATATGCCATGAAACATGAAGGCATTGCTGCATGCAGGCTTACTGCATTTTGACATTCAGTTGCACGACAAGTTATTAACCAGAGGGTTGACAGGTTGGGGGCGGGGTAGTGAAGCGTATTTGTTGTTGCAATCAAAAGGAAATCTCTGTGCGAGTTTATCTGGTCCCAAAAAAAGACAGGTGTATAATCTCAGAATGCTGCAATCGGAAATCAAAGTATTTTTAAAAAAAGTTTTGCTAAATGAGGGCCAACTGTGGTAGAGTATATTCCTCTTTTGAAGATGTAAGATTTAGAGATGATCCTTGTTCTTTCCTATATTATCATGTGTATTAGTGTATTATCAAGTTCTTGAGGCCTTTCCATAATTAATGATACCTGATCATGACTTCATGCAGTATATATAATTGGGTGCCTTTAGATAGTAATTTTGGTCCTCAGTAAAGGTAAAAAATTACCTCAGAGACCTTTGCAGACTGTTTCTTCATTTTATCTGGAATAAATAGAGATTGACACAATAATAATTTTTGTATAATGAATTTTAATTTTTTGGAGGTCAGTTTGGTTGCTTACTGGTTTTTGCTTTATGTTATGTGAAATTAGGCTGGCAATGGGATACTGTTTTGCCATATGTTTCATTTCTCACTGCTGTACTGTGTTTACAGCAAAACAAACATAGCTGAAAGCAAAGCTAACTTTTCTTCTTCCTTGTGCATTTCTTTTTGTGTGTGTGTAAGCCTCATACCAGCGACTATTGGGTGGTTTTAGTTTGGCACTTCTTTTGTTCTTGTATGATATATTTTGTCATTTTTTTAAAAAAAGTATTATTCCTGGTTCAAGTCCGCATGAGAAAAACAAATTTAAAACGTTTAATTTGTTGCCTCGAAGCTTATCAAAGCCCCCTTTTCAGCAAATTGATTTGGTGGGATTAAGTTGTACGTTAGAATGAATATGCGATGTGCAAAGCCAACAAGTATAATAACATTCCATAATGAACTAAATTATATGGACAGGAGGGAGGTTCTGATACAATATCACAAAATGACTAAACTCAACTGATGTATAGTAATAAATAAATATATTTCAAAAGGAGAAACTACCACATGGTTTTAGCCAGCAGGATTCTGTTTTATGCACCTTAAATGGAAAAGAAGAAGCCACAGTCTAGGTTCCAATTCAGATGCTTTTGTTCCATAGCCTAAGATTAGGTAAACTTTAGGTTGAGGTGCATGTATAAAGTTTAGCCTAGGCTCAAACTTTTAAGCTGACTCATTTGAACTTGAGAAGCAGAAAACAGAATGTTTTAGACCCATGGACACATTTGGGTTTTTTTGCTTTAGTGCCTCGGGTACCATCATGCACGGCCACTTCTATCCACACCCCCTAACCTGGATCAGCCAGAGAAAGATGGAGAAAAAGCACACATATACACAATATTTGCTTTTCCAAGGGATCTAAGTAAAAATCAAATCCGGTAGATTTAATTTGAGCCTTGAAAAGCCTATAGTTTAGCGGGAAAGTTTCACCCTTCCAACTTCCTCCTTTAACAGTATGTACTTTTCAAGAGGAAAAAGAAGTAACTATTCTCATCACCTCTTGACCAAAGGCAGTGTGTGGGGAACTCAGAGCTTTCATTGGGACCAACAGGAAGACCTCAAGGGCCACTGCACTCACAGCCACCACATTGGCAGCTGCTGCTGAACAATAAGCATTACTAAGCCTGGATACGACCCAAAAAGTCGATCTCAGAAAAGGTAATTATTGGTCTTTAGAAATTCCAAGCTTGGTCTGATGTGGTGTTTGGCCTATACATTAAAGTCCTATGCTAAGCTTAGTTTTGAATCTGTTGGTGACTGGCGTAGTGAGTAAATGCGGAGATGAGTAAGACTGAAAGAAGCAGGGAGACTCTGATTTCAGCAAAGTAAAATGTTGTCTGGGTCATTGAGATATTAGACAAACATAGGTAATGCAGTGCTCTGTTAATTCCTTTAAAAGGAGTTGAAAGGAACTGCTGCTGTGTGATAGCATCAAGCAGTATCGCTGAGGGATATCTAATAGCTGATTATGCCATGCTGACACAGCAACTAGAGATTCTCTCCCCCCCCTTTCCTCCTTGAAGCTTCTCAGCTTAGTACAAAGTCACCTTCATGGGTTTTTTTTTGTACTGTTCCAAAGAATCTTACAGTGGCAGTGCTTGGGTAAATGGAATACTTAATATAACAATAAATATTTATATAGCCCATTTCAAGTTTTCAAATAGTTATTCACACGTTATCTCAGTAAGCCTCACAACAGCTCATATTATCCCCATATTGTCAATTAGGATGATTTACCTAAGATGTCCTGTGAGTTCATGAATTTGTGATTTGGGACAGTATCCAACAATCACGCCCTGTCAGCACAAGGATTTCCCCATCCCACCCCAGATCTTCTCTGGACATTTGGGGGAACCACTAGAACAGGTTTAGGGGAGGAGATGGGGGAAGCCCTGTTGCACAAGTATAATATATTAATGACATGTTACTTCGGTACTACTTTGGATAGAACCCTAGTACACTACCTACACCAGTTTGCATAATTCTTGGGCTTATATGCTTCTCTCTTCTTTTTTGTCAAAAACTTCTGCTTTTGATTTTATGTTATAGTTGGCACTCACTTTGCACGGGGGGGGGTCCGTTCCTGGCCCCCGCACACATCAGTGGAGTGCGCATAATCCTGTTCCGCCCCATTCAGCCTTCTATCGCGTCCAAAAGGACCCACACATCAATTGGATGTGTGCAAAATGGTCACTGCCTGAGATCACAGTTTCCCATGATGATCAGACTTCAGGAATTGTGGCTTGTTTAACCTGTGTTGTATTTGACAACCGACAAGAGCAGACCATGTTTTCAGATTCTGGCTTGTTTTCATCCCCTAGTTTAAACAGACCATAGTTCCCCAAGTTGGGAGAACATGGGCAATTCCTCCCTTTTATATCTAGACTACACTACATCTTCTTTAACTGTGTCTCTGGGTAACTATTTCAAATTACTTTCAGTTAAGTTAGCACTTCTAAACATTTTCTTCAAATCGTATCTGGAGGCGGGAATGTAAATATTGTATCCTCTTCAGCTGTATACAAGATGCTTTATGGCACATTCTTATAGTTCATAGTAAAGAGCATTTTTAAAAGGTCTCTGCGGTGTATATGTTTAGTCTGAATAATAATTGGACGCTTTTGTACACACACCAACAACTTTTCACTTCCATTGAAGGTTTCTCTCCCTCCTTCCCCTTTATTGTAATATTATCTGCCACTCATAGGAATTCACAGCCACTGCCTAATCGATCTTATTTTCGTATGAAGCCCACCTATGCAACTGCATTCTTGTTAGTATTTCCACTAATGAAGAAATATTTCTAAAAATATATGATTTTTTTAAAAAAATCAAGGATAAAGACCTTCCCAGTATCGCATATTGGAGCACAGATTCTTTTGC